TTCAACTCTCAAGAGGCAAAATATTTTTTGTATATATATAAGAAAAGGAAAAACAAAGAATTATTATTTTTGTATCATCATAATATAATACAGATACTTCTTATTTACACAGCATGACCTATATATGACTGGTCCTAAACTACAGATAATTTGTCTATGTCCATATTAAAAGCAGAAGAGTAAAGAGGCATGAATATTTAAAGCATTACAATATTTTTACAGTAATGCCAGATGCAATGAAATGGTTATCAATGTACTGCCTGTCATTATATTGCAGTTTCATCATTAAAATTATACCTAGTTATTAACATTTTTCTTCCTACCAATTAATTATTCCAAATGCAATGAGGAAATCTAATGTCTCTTTAAGTACCCAAAATGCAATGTTATATAACATTACTGTATTGATGAGGTAAAACCCCATGTCAACACATCTGTTACTTAAATTATGGTCCAAAGGAAACACATCCAACACTCCATGACAGAGAACTTGTCATGATGGAAACACTGAAAAATCTAACATCTACTACAAACCCTACCCAAAGTTATTGCCAAATCAGCACTAAATGGCATGCCACTGTGAAAGTATGCATATTTATTTACACATATTCAAGAATGGACTACCATATGAAAACATGAAGCTGAGATGTATGGTGCCAGAATTTCAAATGTCTTTTTGCGTTGGACACTCCGACAACACTTTCAGGTCCTTCTCGTTGGTTGACACTGTTGCATAAGTTCATGACAACCAACCAACATAGTCAAAGAGCCACAGTACCTTGCACCTGTCACTCCATTTGAGTGCAAGCGCGTGCCTCCTCCATGCGCGCCGAGCCGACTGGCTGCGTTGTCCGTGAACACAGGAACACACCTACCTTGGGAGCAATGCGTGCCAAAGAAATAAAACTAGAAATCAATGGAGGGTTTTGTACACTACTTCCAAATTTTGCCAAAAGATTGAGACTGTTTTCTAGTATATAAAAATATAAAAGTTCTCTTTTATTGAGCATTACTTTGCACAATTTTACTGGCACTGTACTGAACCAAACTTGGATAAAATAATGACCAGGTTTGACAGTTAAAAACAAAGATGACTCGACTAAGCACCACAATGCATTCTTACTGACTAACACGTTCTTGTAACGTATTGCACCACTGTTTGCTAAAATGACCAACTTCCTGTGTTCACTTCATTCACAACCTCAGCACATGGGACACACGATGCACTTGCTGCTACAATTGGAACATTTAGAATCATTCTTGACTCACTAATAGGCAAACAACTCAAAGACTTTCTTCGAGTGACACAAAACCAAACACAACTAAATGGACTGACTGGGGGTTAACCTGCATTTTCCCCACCTGGTGCATCACTTTCCGAGCTTTGCTCAGCAGTACTTGGGGGCTGTTCATCATTGCAAGGAGTACCATCACTTTGGGGTTCCACTACTGATGGAGGATTACAATCTTCACCACCATCATAATCATAATCATCATCACCACCACCCTGTTCCAGTCGAGGCTCCTCTGCAAACTGACTCAAGTTCTTTTCCTCAATACTTGTCTCCATTGCCTCTTCATTTCCCCCATCTGCAGGGACAGGTTCAAGAGCCAGTTCTGCTGTGGGGGAAACATTGCTCCATCGAGACTTTCTGGCTCGATCCCTTTCTCCCTTCACATTAGGTGTGGCTGGGGCCTCCGTTTCATCCTCACACTGCTTTCCACCTGCATCCTCAGGTCTGCTGCCCCTTCTAGGGCCCATCTCCTCATCCCTCCTCCACGGACCAGGTCCATCCCTCTCCCCCCCTCGGAACCTTCCCTCCTCACGACCCCCTGGAGGTCCCCTCCTAGGTCCCCGTGGTTCCCAGCCACGAGGATGTCTTCCTTCTTCCCTTGCTCGACGCTCAAGATCATCAAATGGTGGACGTCCAAAGAAGCTGTCTGGTGGAGGTCCATCAACAGGTGGGCCTTCAAATCCCCGAGGGAACATAGGTGGTGGTGGTCCCTGACCTTCCATCCAGATTCCTGAAAATAGATGCAACAATGTGCAGCATGCAGGAAACAAGGTCCAGACACTCCACCTTCCTTAACAACATGTGGGACGATGAAGTTATACTGATTTCACAATAAACATTTTTTTGTTTCATATAAGAGGCAACTTAATTTCTAAAACAAAATATACTTGGATTAACTTAACTTCAATTTAACTGAATAAAATAAGAACCCCTATATTTTATTTCAGTTTCACACATGTCTCTGAATCAAAATCTTCACAACCTGTTTCCCTATGATCAATCCTCCTCCTTAGGGCTCTAGGCATGCTATGGGGTTTTGCCATGAAATTCTGTTTTAACAATACACCAATTTAAAATTTATTAAGTTTTGTGCAATATGCTGAATACAAGTCCTAAGACTTCCCTGATCCAGAATCAAATAACCATGCATGCAAAAAACAGAAATGCAGTGAATCTTTGTATCACTGGACATTGCACTGCAAAAGAGAGTTTCAAAAAGTGTAAAATTTTGTGGTCTGATAATTATAAGCTTTCTGTATATCTCATTTCTGTGTATATATATCTTTTTGGGATACCTGTATTAAAAAAAATTGGACAATATCAGTAAACAAACTCTAGTATTTCAAATTGTAGCCAGTCCCTTTACAGACAGAATTATACTGAAGATGGTTGCCTTTGGGGATTATGCATCATGTATTCTGCTAGATATTGCCCAGTATTTCAGGGGAGCTTACTGCCTCCTTCATTCAGGTGATAACTGCGGCAATAACCTCTGAAATGTTGGGCAACATCCATAAGACAGCCATCCGTCTTCAGACTGGTTGCTGTGAGAAACTGAAATCTCAAGTGAATTGTACTGAATCACCTTACCATGGCAATTTTTTTTAAAGATAACCATCTCCTGGCAGTTTCCCATTATCATCGAAATATTCCACAAGGAAAACTTGTTTGTAAAAACACTTTGCAGTTCTGAATAGTTTGTAGTAACTACTACTTTTGAAGACAAATTTAATATTGTAAACAATTACCTCATTACACAACAGTTATTTGCTATGAAAATAAATTTTGCCATGCTTCATCACTCCATGAGGTGTTACAATGGACTTGCTAGGGGACTAACAGAAAAAGAACAAATAGTGAACCTTCAGGTTCCACCAAAGGCTCTTGATTAACTGAGCAACTATTAATTGTCTTCTGAAGAAGGACTCTGCCTCATGAAGTCTGTTAGTTTCTCAACTGCAGATATTATATGGCAATGAATGGGAAAATGATGAATTGGAATTAATGTGAAAGGGAACAGTCATGGCCAATATTATGGTACTATCACAGCATTTGCCTGCGGGGCCAAAGGAAAACTACGAGAAACCTCAGTAAAAAGAGTAGATACTGACGAAAACCACAACAAATCACAATGCCCGATAATTTAGTACAAATGACAAAATGGTTGTGGCACATTTCTAGGTATTAACTCAGCATTTTTCTGGAGGGACTGAAGAAAATAATAAATTCACAGCCAGGTGAGAATAAATATTACCTAAATAGGAAGCAGAATGATAACTACTCAACTGTGAAATTCAATAAAAACAGTGGATACTAAGCTGTTCTGCTCGATCACATGGTATACTGCACTGAATGCACAATACAGGACTTACAGTCAGAATGTCTGAACAGAGGAATGCTAACCATGACATTCAGCTCAATTTCTTAGAAACAGATCAAAGGAATGCTTATGGATCTGGTCTGAATTATCTATAAGACTGGTAACAAAAATTGACAACAAAAGAGACACCCAATCTAAAGAAACTGGAAATATGAGTTTGTGAAAGTCCAGAAACTTGTGAAAATTAATGATGTTGTCGTAGCTATGTAAATATACCAAGAAACAGATACAGCCTTCTACAACAAACTACAGTGAAGAGGTTAACTCACCCGGTCGAGGCCCCGGTCCTCGCATTCCCATTGGTCCTGGTGGACCTCGC